TACATAACTCTTGTTTACAAAATGGCCCTTCCTATAATGTCGAGGGACGCTGGACCCGTTTTCCAGCAGGTGTTGCTCCCCACCAATAGATGGAGCCTCCCCGAGTATGCTAGAGGTGTCTGCTCTTATCAGCACCTCTAGCATTCACTCGGGTTGTTTTTTGGTAAAAAAAAAGAAAAGAAAAAAAAGAAAAAAGAAAAAAAAGTATGGAACAGAGTGAACCCACGTACCAGTCCGCCAGCTGCTGGACCCAAAGCCTCAGCCAAATCAGTACACATCAATTGCCAGTCTGCTCCTGGCACATTATGCCACGCGCTCTTGTCCATCACTGATGGAGTGCGCTATGCTGCCCCGTGGCCTCAAGGGATAGGAGAGAAAATGCTTGAACGAGAGTAACCATGACTCGTAGAGGTAGGAGGGCGGGGATAGAGTGGGAGGAAGACAGAGAGACGCTCCTTCCATTATTTACTGGTTTGATTCAAAGCTGGACCGCCATACCTAAAGATGTTTGTGTGCCTTGCCATGTGCTGCTTCCATTATTGATTGGATAATTTGGATTGATGAAAAGCGTGAAATGACACTCTTTCGGCTCTGATGAACATTCTGCTGTACGGGCTAAATTCGTAGGTATGCCATGCTTATACAATTTTTTGTCTTCTTCCCTTTCTTTTTTTCTTTTCTTTTTAAATCAGGTCCTTATGGTCCTGGCTCCATGTCCATTCTGGGGAGCGTCAGTCCGGTTCCTATTCCCCCGACAAGTCAAAATTGAATACATCATGTTACACACTCACGCTTCCTTCCGTCTGGTCGAAGGAACCCTGAAAGTCATGCTTATACGATTGACTGGGATTAACTCCCTTTTTTTTAATTTATTCCCCTACCCTTTTATTTTTCCCTCCTCTGTGGATCCTTGCTGTCTAGCTTAGTTACAGTTATGACTCAGCTAGTCCATGACCTGTCCACCCGCTGATGATGATGGATTTGACCATGGACTTCTGTATTCTTCTTCTACTGAATTTGACTTGTCGTATGTTTTTGAATGATCATGTGCTTGGGAGACAGCCTGCCACTTGGGTTGATTGGCAAAACAATCCCTGTTCCAAAGAAGCCATTCTTCGAGGGTTGGTGGCAACGGAATCAGCAGGCCCGAAAATTCGGTAAGGAGAAGACAAGCTCGTCTCAACCATGTCGTCATCTGGTCTTGTTGGGGGGGAGGGTTGACATAAATAGATACATGCCATGATGATCTCAATCGACATATAGATGCAGGCTTCAGCTTAGCACCACGTGCAGAGTGCCCTAACCAATGATACTGTAAGTGATAGTCCACCTTAACCCCAGTTGGGGTTAAGGATCAATGACTGCCCAGCAACTGATACCCTGAGGTGGGGAGGGCACTTCCCTCAAAAGTACCTGTGACACAAATCAAAGCAGACTATCACTCACCCACACCAGACGGAAGACTCTACAGACTGCAGGGTTCACACACCATCATAAGCCAGCTTAACACCATGAAACAAAGAAAGGTCTGTCACAACCAGAAAATACGCTCCAGACTCCAGAGTCCAAACACACTGCTATATACATAAGACATACAAGTGGACCGCGCCACGGCTACGCCGTGGCGCACAGCAAGACTCGCTGATACCCTGTGTCTCTCTCTCTCTCTCTCTCTCTCTCTCTCTCTCTCTCTCTCTCTCTCTCTCTCTCTCTCTCTCTCTCTCTCTCTCT